TGCGGATACCATACCCCCATAGCTAAACTAGACATCTTTCACCCCATGTAGCAAGTTTCCAATTTCTATTACCAGTTTACGGCTTGGCCGTTCGTGTCCTGTGCTGCAGTAGCATCCCCCCAGGCTGGCACAGTAGTTCCAGGGACGTCAACCCATGTCCCAGGCATGATGTTGTCACGATCTTCTACTTCTGCTGCAGGAGGCTTTTGGTCTTCATTCCCATTCACTTCCGTGGGAGTCCAGATGCCCACATTGTTGTCAGCTCCTTGCTCAACACTGCTTGTGGTCTGCTGTTCGCCCCAGGTGCCCGGAGCGCAAGAGCCTGGGTACGTGTCTTCGCCCCAATGAGCTCCGCTCTTTTTCACAGTCTCATTGCTCTTGTTCGAATGGTTTGAGCCACCTCCCCAACCGTTTTGGTTCTGATCTTGCTCACCAGTCGGTGGTGACACAGGCCATTCTTCCGGCTTACTATCCTGAATGGTCTTATTATTCCAGTCGTTAACTGCCTGATTGTTGCTCGTATCCCAGCCGCCTTGGTTCTGGTTCTTGTCTTGGGCCGGTGCGTCCCAAGCATCTTGGCCATTGTTGTCAGCTGTTCCGTCGTTCCAGCCAGCTCCTTGGTCGTTATTTTTGTTCCCGCCGTTGGACCCGTTGGACCCAGCCTTATCGGAACCTGGAGGCTGGCCGTTTTCCCTGGGTACAGAACGGTGACTTTCCCATGCGTTGTTTTGTGACTTTCTCTTATAATATGGATTGTCCTGGCCCTGGGTCGATGAGTTAAATCCGGTCCGGCCCGTGTGTTTCTTTAATAATCACTTACAGTAAGACTTCCAGGAGGTCCAACATTATTTTTCTCCGCTTTGGAAACCGGAGTGTTTTTGTTGGTTTCAGGGCTCCTATGTCCATAGTAGCCAGCGGGGGGTACGCCTGCAGGAGGGCCCATGGCATACCACGAAGGAGGGGCCATTCCTTGAGTGATGGGAACATGCGAGTATGCGTCTGGTGTTGGAACCCCTGCGTAGCCCTGGTGGAATTGTGGCATCTGTGGATAGTTGGGATACTGCTGCGGATTGTTGAAACCATAATAGAAGGGGTTCTGCATCGAATGAGGCTGACCCATCGGCAGAGGGCGACCGAAGGCGTCACGCTCTGGGTAAAGCGCATTGCTTTGGTGGTTCCCGTAGGCAGGGCCGTCGTAGGCTCTCATGACATTGTGTTCTGCATCGTAGTAAGCGTTAGGTGCTGGGTCTTGTGGAGTTTTGATCACGCGCTCTATCTGAACGACCTGAGCTCTGATGGGCTCGATAAGCTGCGATTGACGCATATGAGGAACTGGTAATCCTTCGGGATAATTGCCCTTCTTGACTCCATCCTTTTGTTTAGGCTGTGCCTTTGCTTTTCCTTTCATAGTTCTGAACTTGCCTTGATTTGTGTCTTTGGAAGCTTCGGGGGCCTCATCAGCTGGGGCGGCTTCCTGGTCTTTATTGGTTTCATTTTCTGGTTCCTGTTTCTTCTGATTTCCTTGTTTTCCTTTCTGCTTCTTGTTATTCTTCTCCTTGCCTTTGTTCTGTTTCTTGGGCTCCTCTTCTGGCTCAGTTTCCTCTTCTGCTTCGTTGGGTGAGTCAGAGGTTTCTCCTTCAATCTCTTGCTCTTGTTGCTGCTTAGCCTTTTTGTTCATTGCTTTTCGTTGCTTCTTGGTTAGAGGCTGGGGGGCCGCTTGCTGTTTCTTTCCATCTGTCTGCTTGACCTGATTTTTGGTTTGACTCCGTTTCTTAAGTGCTAGGATCTCAGACTCTGAATCTGAGTCAGAAGTATTGGGGTCAGACTCTGTTGGTTTTACTTTCTTTAGACACCTCCTCTTGTTCTTACCAGATTGTCGCTTAGTGTTGGGGGGTTCTTCTTCTTCGTCCGAATCAGAAGTTTCGGGGCTTGGCGGGGTGATTTCCTTGCTCCTTTTCCGGCCTACTCTTTTCAATATCTGTCGACCCTTTGTACATCTCTGACAGGGACAATCTGGTGCTGGATCAGAGTCCCAGTCACTCTCGGTGTCTTCTTCGGACTGTGTCTGTCTGTGCTTCTTCTTCTTTCTCTGCCTCTTGTGCTTCACGCACTTAACTGGATAGTCAACATCAGAATCGGTGGCATCAGAGCTTGATATGTACGCCGACTGACTAGAATCTGACTCAGTCTCTGGGCCGGAGTCGGATGCCTCATCTGAGGAGTCCATGGGAGTTGTGGTAGTGGTCTGCTTCATAGCAGATTTGATGGGACCATTCTGGCCAAAGTCAAACCGGACCTTCTTGACCTCGGCCTTTGCTTCGTTGGCAGGCAGGGGTGTATAGGTACGTCCAGTGCGCGGGTAGGTGATCTTGACGGTGTCCTCTTCGGACTCATCATCAGTGGTGACCTCAACACGTACGACGTCTCGCTTCTTAGGGGGTTTGTTCTGAGGGATGGCGCCGATAACAGATTCGATTGTTGTTCCAACTACCCATTCGCAAAAATGCGAGGGGAGTTTCGTTTTGCGATTTGACATCGCACCAAAGAAGTTTGCTGTACCAAAGAAATTGTCAAGATAGTGTGTCTTCAGAAAGGTCAAAAGGTCAAGAAAGAGATGATTATGCGTTTGTTTTGAGGTTGGGTCCAAGACGTCGCCCTGATGGCATGGGCGGTAGTCGAAGGTCGTTGTTGTCAACTGCTCGCAGCTGTCAGGGCGATGCGAGGACAAAGTGATAACAGCCCTAGTGCTTAGCAATCTACAGATCAGAAAAGAAGTGTAAAGAGGGCATGTAGAGGCTATGTCTTGTTTTGGTGAAAAGATGTAAATATAACAGAAATGAACTGCGCTGAGATGAAAAGGCTTGGTTCGTGGTTGAGAAAAGAGGCAGGAGCGAGCTTGAGTTGGGGCTCCTTCCTCCTTGTGTGTAGGTAGGTAGGTACCTACCTATATAATTCACCTTGATGTATTATCCACCCTCCACCTAGCCACTAAAAGAAAGCAAACTCCCTAAGGCACCTATAATTCACTATCACAGCTTCGCATTCAACTTCATCTCCTCCCATCTCTCATTGATAATAAGATTCTGCCAGAACCTCCACGTCGCAACAGCAACTGCTAGAGGAGGACATCCAAGCAACAACCATGACCACCAATCGGGGCTCGCCTTTCTCAGATCCTTGATGGCCTTATCCAGCTGCTCCTTCAGCTCTTCTCGTGACCCGTCGTTCCAAAGCACAATTCCTTTGCCTTCTCCTCGTTCTTCACATCGCCGGGCCTTTTCTCGAACATCTGTCTGGCTACGCACTCTGTTCTCGGCATCTTCCAGGCTCAGGTGAGGATCACGCGCACGCAGACGCTGCATCTGAACTGCTGGGTCGTGGACTGCCACTACAGCTGTGACGCCGCAGAAGCGGTCGAGGCCACTCTCGAAAAGGAGTGGGATATCCAGAACCACAGCCCAATGACCTCTGAAGTAACATCCAACGACGGACTTGAACATTTCCCATCGGACAGCCGGATGAACGATGCGATTGAGAACTGATCTGTCCTTCTTTCGCTCCTCTGAGTCGCCAAACACCCGTCTCCCCAATGCCGGTCTGTTGAGTGGTCTGCCTTTGCCGTCTGGTCCATCCTCTGGCATCTTCTCTGATGGCTCAACGAGAAGTTCGGGTGTTGTAGGCCCGAAATGTTTTACAATAGCTTCATACCCACGAGTTCCCGGCTCCACAACCTTGCGCGCTAGAATGTCTGCATCTATGATCGGGAGGTTGTAGGGTTGCGATGACAGCATCGACGACACTGTCGACTTGCCTGTGGCAATTGAACCCGTGAGACCAATGAGAAGCATGATGGCGTATCTTGATGGCTGCACCGGTCTTGTGGTAATAGAAAACCTCGGACTCTAGAAACTCGTCAGAAAGTCTTCTAAGCTAATTTCAAGATCACCAAGAGTATCCTCATGTATCATGATTAAGATAGGTCTTCTTACCTGTTAGCGAGGTATAGACCTAACAAGGTGAGGCAATAAGCTCAGGTGGTCTTTTTTTTTCTGCCCTTGCCGTCAGCCTTATGTAAGGCTATAGAGCTTTAAACTTTCTCAATAAAGGCTTAAACAGTAAGGCCCCTATTGTTGGGGTGATGTCAAGGATAAGTTGATTCTCTAGCTACGTGGGGCTTGAGAGCGTTGCTTGAGTTGCGTTGGTGGCCCACGTGATGTGGTGGCTCCAATACAGGTGGTTTTAAAAAGGCTTCTCTTTCGAGATTTGATAGTGGCTTCTCAGATCTAGAATGAGATGAGTGTATCAATGGATGTAGTTGACAGGAATGATCTGATAAACCTTGGGCCGATGATGCAATTACCGAGGATGTTCGAAACAGTCAGAACAGCCCGTGTTAGCTAACCCCACATGCATCCATGACTTGCATTAGTAACTTGCACCACATTAAATCAACGACATGTGATGCTATTTTCTTTCCTTCACGCAGAACAATCACAACGGGGCCGTTTTATACAATTTCAATTAACCGTAGCAGTGAGTATCCTCATATGAATGATACGAAGCAATTTCCTATCTGCATTTGGTAGGTAGTGTGTCCTTGCGCAATCTCATAACAGTCCATGCCCTTATCCGTGAGACGTCTTATTCATTGATACAGTCTCAATCGCATAACTGAGCATGAGCTCTTTATAAGTCGAAAAGTCGGACAAAGGACGAGAAGCTCTATCATCCCTTTCAAAAGTCAGCCTGTGTCGCCGTATTGTCTCCGTACTACTTACATGGAGGACACGGTGACAGTTCAAATCAAATTCTCGATCGAGGGCAGAGCCAACTGCAAAATCATTAGTACAACTTTAACTCATGGTGGTGAGATATTTTACAGCTTGCGGTTAATGATTTCCCAATGAATGATTCTTGTGGCTTTCGTGGTATGTCTCCAGATTATCAGCTCATGATCGGGGAGATGAGGCAAAGGGATGTTAACTTACTGGCCGCAACGTTTAGTTGGGGAGTCGGACGGCGTAAAACCAACCCTCATCGGTCACATACCAGCGGGAGTCACCCATGTGATCAATGGTAAATCGGTTGCGCTGAGTCCAGTTCCCGTCAACTTCACGAACATAGTAGAAACGGGAGGGGTCATCGTCAGCTGGCTTGAAGTCCTGCGGCTCATACATCTTGTTCGCATGCGCAAACTGAATCTGACGGAGCTGCTCTTCGCCAGCGGTACGACCAACACCAGTGACATCAGGGACATGTTGACCACCAGGGACATGTTGACCACCAGGGACATTACCTGCAAAGACGGGGACCGTGCCGGGCACAGCAGCTCCACCAGCAACACCGACCGAGGGAACGCCTGGGACTTGCTGAACCTGTTGCATAAACTGCTGGGGCTGGTGGCTCGCAACGAGGACTGGCTGTTGGCTCATGGTCGGCTGCTGGTAGTAGTAGGGCAGCTGCTGGACAACGTAGCTGCCATGGACGGTAGGCTGGGGGGCCATACCACCGGCGACGGGCTGCTATAGAAATTGTCAGTATTTGCTAATAGTTGTGTTGAGATTTTGAGGAACGAGCGAAAGAAAAAGGTAGACCGCCGCCAAGCCACTGAAGTCGCGGAGGTGCACTGAACCACTTGATTCAGGCCAACTCGACGCCAAAGCCAAAACGCAAAGATAAATCAGCTAAGTAAACTTGCATAATACGTGTATCCGTTCAAATAGAATGTCTTGGGCACTACAACTGTAGTGCAGGCGGGAGTCGTCATTTGGACAGGAGACAAGAGAGGGGCAGAAGGGGCAACGAAGGAAAAAGAGGAGGGTGGACAAACTTGTACACCGGCATAGGCCCCGACTGGGACACCAGCGAGACCATTGTCAAAGCGAGGCACATAAACGTGCTGCATGGGACCAAAGGTAGTGTCAGGAACAGGCGGCTGGAAGTTCATGCCATGAACAGGAGGCGCAGTGTTCTGATAGTCACCCATGTTTGCGGTGTTGACAGCGGGAGACTGAGGTCCGATTCCGATGTAGGTGATTGGAGATGGGGTGAATTGGTTTTGCCCTGCGCTGATGAAGGGAGCAGGATGAGGATGGGGATGAAATTGAGGGGGGAGAAATTGGTGCTGAGGGGTAGGCGAGACGAAACCAGTTGGCACTTGTTGCGCGAGGCTCTGAGTCGGGTCGGCACTGATATGCCACTGAGGCTGTGCGTTAGGGCCTAGGCCGAGCGCAGGGAAGCTCGTAGGTTGATTGCTGCCCTTCTCCTCGGGCGCAGAAGTGGTTGCTGGGGGAGCAGCAGTGGTTGTCGTAGCTCGAGCAGTGCTAGGAGCTGTAACGCCGTTGATACCAGCACTGAAGCCGCCGCTGGGGGAATTGGCAGTGGTGTAGCCCGTGATGCCCTCGCTGACGGCGCCAGATGTATATGTAGATGTAGATGCAGATGCAGGAGTTGCAGTAGCAGTAGAAGGCTTGATCTGAGAGCCAAAGTGCACTTGACGAGTCTCGGGGGTCTTTGGCCGTCGAGGAATTTTGGGGGACTTGAAGGCGCTGGCACCTGCCGAGGCCATGATCGCTTCTTTTGTGTGCAACTCGAACAATCGAGGTTTGAAAATAAATCCACTTTCGGGGCTCGTGAATCAGAAGCCTCAGGATCTCGTAATATCTTCGAAGAAGGGGAAGAAGGAAAGAAGAAGAAGAACCTCTCAGATAGTAGAGGCACTTCGAGAAGATATACCTCTCGTGCGTACAGGGCACAAACAGCGCTCGAGGCGGCAGTACAACACAAAGACAACCCTAGCGTATTGAATTTGGTTTGTTTATGTTTTGATATCCTTCAATGGCACGTTTTGTGGTGACTCTGCTCTCCAGTCGGTTATCACTGGCAGTCCAGACGCAGGCTCAGTACCAAGTGGCCCGCAAGATTGAAGGGGATCTGATAGGGAAAAGGGCCACGATGATGCAATTGGCAAAATTAAGATAAAATGCAAAGAAATAAGTATGCTCACCACTCTCTGAAGCTCCCAGTTCTGCCCATCGTGGACCCAGACAGTCTGCTTAGGGGCTTTGTGCAAATTGTCATAAGGGTCTTCGCATTTTGTCCATGTCCAAGGGAAACAGGGGAGGCACATTATGCCGTTGAGATTATAGCAAATGCAGCGAAGTGTTTTTAGATGATTTAAAAGGGAATGTGTTGTTTTATGCTAAAGTTGAGTGGGTGGTGGGTGGTGGGTGGTGGGTGGTGGATGAGCAAAGCTGGCTGCTGTCATGCCCACTGTGGTGACAGTGTTTCTGCCTTGAGCATTGAATGGATATAAGGTAGTCAAACTCCCGTAAAGTTGAGCTCTTTGAGCCTGGGTAGGTAGTAACACAAGGTTCTTGATCTCTTGCGATATACTTATTTGTTCGCTTGTGTGAACTTGCCAAACTAACGTACCTAAACAATGGGCTCGTCTATTATGCTGAATGCACATGTGTATACAGAATCACACGTCTACTGCGTAATTTCATCCTCTCGCCTCATATGTAAACAATTCATCGTCACGATAGCAACTCATCCATCAGGAAGCAAGATACATCCCTTTTCATCCCATGAATCATTGTCAAAAAGGGCCAAATTCGTCATCATTGTTGTCCTTACTTGGACAATCAAGCGTCCCCATAGTCGCAAGCTTCGCCCTGTCTAGCGCTTGCTTTGTTTTCGCTGCTCGCTGAACTTCTTCCTGGGTGCGGCTGGCGAGGAGTTCATCCACGATGTCAAGCTGGAGAGACGACAGCCCGGCTCCGCCGAAGAAAACTTCAGCATGGTTCATAAGATCATCTACTTCAGCCCACCACCGGCGAACTCGAACCTTCTAGGGCTATTTCACACAATGTTAGCAATTATCAATAAAGGGCACCAATGATGCTCACTCGGATAAGAACCGGATGTTTCTTTGCTCGTACGCCTTCAAGTAGTTCTTGGTAGGTTGTTTCATTCAACTTTGTCCACGTCCTAAGACGATCAGGCAACTTGCCGGCGGGAATATAGAAATTGGAGTTGCTTCTCAACTTGAAAACCCATGAGTATCTCTCACTTTCAGGTTTCTCTGCTAGCACCAATGCATGCAGCTGGCGAAACAAGCCTTGGGCTTTCTTTCGCTGTGCTTCATCTCCACGATGCCAAACAATCTCGAGTCTGTGTATAAAGACGTTGATAGTGCGTTGGCTCTGTTCACTGTCGGGAGGAAACCTGACTTTCATTCGTGAAAGCATTCCCTCCATGCTGACATCGCTGGGTAGATTGACACACTGGTAATTAATCTTACCGTCGACCCCTAAATCGAGGACCTTGACCTGGTAATAGCCTGATAACTGTTCTTTGCCAACACCCAAGCGAGTTTGGGCAACCATTGTGACCAAGTGACTGAGTTGAAAGCTTGCTCGCACATCATCCCATCTTGCTGGCTCCCGGTCTGGGTCATAGGCATTGGGCTCCCACAACGTCTGGCATGTCTCTTTAACCTCTTCTTCAACTAAGTGCTGCAGTTTCGTTGGAAAGGTCTTGTCTTTGTCGACCTTGGTGCGATATGCAGCCTCTAGTTCAAGGCGTCGTTTCCGGAGGTCCTCTGCGATCTCCCGCTTTTCTGCGGGCAGGGGTGTGGTTATGTCAAATGGTACAAACCACGTTCGGTCGAAGCCATCGAACACGTTGATCCCGCTGTCCGCAACCTCGAAGCCAGCCCATTGTGGGCTCCAGAAAGCTGTCATATTAGTTTGACCCTTGACATGAACGATCCGCGCCCTTGCTCTCCAGTGATCAAGGCGATATTGTATCATAAACTCTTTGAACTCTCTCAGGCTCGCATCAGCCATGCCTTGTTTGGGAGTTCGTGCTTTCCGGGGCCGCTTAGGTACATGACTTGATGATGCCGCATTTGTGTCGTCCTGGGGATTGTCAGTAGCACTGAAAGGGTCGCCTGTCAGCACTGGAGATGGACGATTGTCGCGAGTATGCTCTTCAACGGCATCTAGATACATCTGGAATGCCCCCTGGCTATTGCCAAAGTCGTGTGATTCCATGTTGAGGGATGTGTCGTGGGCAAGGTCAAGCCATCTCAGCTTATGTGATGCGGACGAAGATGAAAAGTTGAGGGTACGATAGAATCTCTTGCTGTGAATGTGTGTTTGTGGTAGATAGATGGTGAAGTGGTAGGCGCCTCCTCTTTCTTGGGCAACCGATCTCGGCCAGTGCTGGCACTGTCAGGAGGCACTGCTTCCATGAACCAAAGCACAGGCTGCCATGAAAACCCATTGGCTAACTGCATTTAACTTAACTTACAGTACTATTCAAACATTTTAATCATTAATGACCAGACGCCCAGCCCCTATCACAATCGTCTAATGCTCGCTGACCGAACCTCATGTAATGTACACTTGCCCATGGGAGGAGAGATGTCCGTTACAATCCATATGCTACCAAACTCCTAGTCTCGCCCATATCATATACAACGGGGGATCCCTTCTCTTCCCGTACTTCATCTTCCAGCTCGCCTCTCTTCGTTCGTTTTTTTTTTTCGTCGTTGCCGCGCGCCCACAAAGGCACGATTATAACGAGTCGATCAATTGACGACAACGGTGAATAGGTGTATCATAATGTTATTACAGAGTAAGTTCGTTGGAAACCGCAGGGACGGGCTCTGGGATAGGGAAGAAAGATCGTCGGGCAATCTGAAAATCAGTTAGCAGCTGAACAGGGTATAAGACATAGAGCAGCACTTACAGCCCAAGCACCAGCGACAGAAGCCACGATACCACCAGAGATGGCCATGGGTCGCAGTCCACGGGTGCTCTTAAAGAGCATACCACTCAGCGCACCAGCGAGGACAGTGTTTCCGGCATCATGCTTTCCGCGGACAGATCCAATCAATGAGTTGATGCAGTTGTAGATAATAGCGACGACACCCAGCGAGTTACCGAGGAAAGGTCCTCGTCGAGTGACCGAGTTGAGAACAGCGTTCAATCGCAGCTTGGGAGGCTGACCAGCCGACCTTCGGAGACCCTCCTGCAGACCCCAAGCACCTCCAATTCCCAGGCCAGCGAGATATGTGATTCCGGTACCATAACACAAGTCGTCTGTGAAGCCTCGCGAGGGCAGAACTGATTGGCCACCAGGCAACTCGGACAGGGCTGAATCCTCGAGGGAAATATATTCAAGCGTATCTCTATTGAGGCCGGCGAGGGGATGTAATTGCGAGGGGTCGGCAAAGGCAGAGCTCTGAAGAAAAGACTCGACGCCCTGGCCTTCCGTGGGGTCGTAGGCGTAATGCGCGGGTTCTTGTGTCGTGGGTTGTTGGTGCGACTGCGACTGCGACTGCGACTGTTGCTGCTGGTGGGCGGGCTTATTGCCGCTGGTGAAAGCGTTCCAAAGAGAAGACATTATGGGCGATGACGACCGAGTAGACGAGGAGAGGGTGGGCGAGATGTAGATTTGGGTGGATTAATCGGCCTTGACAAAAGTCGCACGTCAATAAGAGTCTTGTCCGAATCTCGGGCAAATCTGAAGGCTTCCTCCGGTTTAGATTTTTTTGGGCTCCACTTCTGCCCGTTCGCCCATCAAGATTCCTCCAGATTCTGTCCCGTCACGTGCTATCACGGCCTCGGACCCGAAGGTTACTGATGAAGGGAAGACATTACAGCGAGGTAAAATGTTTGTGGTGTTTATTGATGAGCTACTCTGTATATGAGGTATCATTGCTTCTATCGACATCTGTCTATAGACCTGTGCGCAGTCGTGGAGCACAGCAACATAACCTGAAACGATGCAACGACTGGCTATAGTCCCGATTCTGGTAGATGCAAATTTGATACGAGCAAATGGCAACGCCATGCGCAGAGTTTGCATGCGATGACTCTTGAGATGTACAGTTTAGTCTCTATCATGAGATATAGTGTGGTGTGTCAAGTTGAACTACAAATTTGCCTGTTTGTAGTCACCGAAAAGTTTGCAGCAAACTTTTTGTTGTTCAGCCACTTTCCGAGTATCTCCAGACAACAAATTCTGCAGCCATAGGAATAAGCAGAAACTGATGATTTGTGGTGTTTCTCTTTAGAAAGCAATGAAACCCAGGGCAAATTCAACGGTCCGTCTTCATATCAAGGCTAACTCAAGAAGAGCAGGCCACACGCGTACGCGCAATCTACGAGCTTACGATATTGAAGATTTAAAGATTCGAAGGTATGTCGAGATCACCCCACAGTCAAGGACCTCTGAGGACGTCCATGGCTGATTAGGAAGAGCGATCACGTTGCTATAGGAGGCCGGGAACGGAAAACCAGATATCGACAAATCTGACTCTCAGCAAGCCGCTTTCGCGGAGCCGCCATTAAGTAAAAATTCACATGACGGTGAAGTTCTACCTACTGATGTAGTAGAGAAAAGAAAAAAAGGAATCAAAAGGATGGGAGAAGATTGGCTTTTTATACCACCAACTCTTCGGGAGTGATCACGCTAACACCAACGTGGCCAAAGTATCGGTGGCTCGCACTGCAGGGATTTTTGTCCGAGAGGGTTACCTAAATTTTCAGAGGG